CACACTCCACACTTCACAGTCCACACTTCACACTTCTCACGTCTCACTGCTGCCTTCACACTCCAAACCTCACACTTCACACTTCACACTCACTCTTCGCACTCCAAACTTAAACTTCACACTCCACACTTCACACTTCTCACTTCCCACTGCTTCCTTCACACTGTACACTTCACACTGCACTCTTCACCCTCCACACTTCACACTGCACTCTTTGCACTCCAAACTTCACACTCCACACTTCACAGTCCACACTTCACACTTCTCACTTCTCACTGCTTCCTTCCACCCAAACTTCACACTTCACACTTCACAACTGCACTCTTCACGCGCCCACACTTCACACTGCACTCTTCACACTCCAAACTTCATCTCAATCTGAGCTCTTCTCACTTATCCCAGCTCATCTCTTCCTCATCTCGTCTTCTCAATATGTTCATCTATTAAGCTTTCCATTAATCAATTCCAGCACAGTATAATCACTGGAACCCTTCATGCAGCCACTCCAATACGATTTACGAAGTCCAGCTGCAAAAGACAATAGTATTGCGCATGCAGCCGCGGCACCAAGCAACCTTGACGCAGCCATCACAATGCGATCTGCAGAGACTGAGTTGCGAAACACAATAGAACTACGCGCAACTGGGTCGGAAATTGCAGCTACAAAACCGGATCTCGACGCCAAAGCGAAAAAAAAGACGATTTTGAAGCACTTTTTAAAAGGATTTTTAAAAAGAAAATCACTGGCGCCAAAATGGAGAAAATCTGCTGACAAATCACTGTCGCAGCTTCATGCAGCCACTCCAATACGATTTACGAAGTCCAGCTGCAAAAGACAATAGTATTACGCATGCAGCCGTGGCAAGAAGCACCTTGACGCAGCCATTACAATGCGATCTGCAGAGACTGAGTTGCAAACACAATAGAACTACGCGCAACTGGGTCGGAAATTGCAGCTCCAAAAGCCGGAATGGAATCTCGACGCCAGAGCGAAAAAGACGATTTTGAAGCACTTTTTAAAAGGATTTTTAGAAGGAATTCACTAGCGGCCAAATGGAGAAAATCTGCTGACAAATTCACTGTCGCAGCCTTCAAATGCAGCCATCCAATCACATATTTACGAAGTCCAGTTGGCAAAAGAACAATAGTATTGCGCATGCAGCCAGCGCGGCATCCAAGCAACCTTGACGCAGGCCTTAAATGCGATCGCAAAACTGAGGTTGCAAAACAACGAAGACGATAGAATACGCGCGCAACTGGGTCGGAAATTGCAGCTCCAAAACCGGATCTCGACGCCAAAGCGAAAAAAAAAAGATTTTGAAGCACTTTTTAAAAGGATTTTTAAAAGGAAAATTGCTAGCGCCAAAATAGCCGTGGCAAGAAGCAACCTTGACGCAGCCATTACTATGCGATCTGCAGAGACTGAGTTGAAAAACGCAATAGAACTACGCGCAACTGGGTCGGAACTCGACGCCAGAGCGAAAAAAAGACGATTTTGAAGCACTTTTTAAAAGGATTTTTAAAAAGAAAATCACTG